CAGTCCCATATATCCCAATCCCAGTTTTCCCAATCCCATATATCTCAGTCCCAGTTTTCCCAGTCCCAAATGTCCCAGTCCTAGCTCTCCCAATCCCAAATGTCCCAATCCCAGTTTTCCCAGTCCCAGGTGTTCCAGTCCTGAGTTTCCCAGTTCCATGTATCCAGTCCTACCTCTCCCAATCCCAGCTCTCCCAATCCCATATATCCCTGTCCCAGCTCTCCCAATTCCAAATGTCCCAGTCCCAGTTTTCCCTATCCCAGGTGTCCCAGGTGTCCCAATCCCAAATGTCCCAATCCCAAATGTCCCAGTCCCATCTTTCCTAATCCCAAATGTACCAGTCCCAAATGTCCCAGTCCCGGCTCTCCCAGTCCCAGGTGTCCCAATCCCAGTTTTCCCAATCCCATATATCCCAGTCCCAGTTTTCCCAATCCCATATATCCCAGTCTCACCTTTCCCAATCCCAGATGATCCAGTCCCCAATGTCCCAGTCCCCTTTTTCCCAATCCCATATATCCCAGTCCCCTCTTTCCCAATCCCAGGTGTCCCAAGTGTCCCAGTTCCATAGATTCCAGTCCCAGCTCTCCCTACTCCCAGTATCCCTCTCCCAGGTGACCCAGGTGTCCTTGTCCCAGGTGTCCCCATCCCACAGCACCTGGTCCAGGTGTTCCAGTCCCCTTCCCGCAGCGCGGCTCTGGGCTGACAATGCGAATCCCCCCATAAAGGGACCCTCAAAGCCCCCCCTGGGGGGGCTTTGAGGGTCCCTTTATGGGGGGATTCGCATTGTCACCGGGGGGGTGGTGGCGGCGCCGCCGGCTTTTGATGTGATGTGACCCGGGGCATTGTCCCCTCCCTGTGCCCCTTTCATCCCGGCGGGGGTCCGCATCCTGCGGGGAATTGCGGCCGGATGGGAAAAGGAGGCGGGAGGTGAGGAAACCCCAGATTCCACCCCCTCCCCAAAATCTGGGGGGCTCCCGGGCGCAGCTGGGGCTGGTTCCGAGCACATCTGGGGGTCCAGAAATAGCTGGGAGGGGTCCCGGGCACATCTGGGGGTCCAGAAATAGCTGGGAGGGGTCCCGGGCACATCTGGGGGGCATTGCTGGCACAGTTGAGGGGATCCCAGGCACATCTGGATGATCTCTGGCGCAAGTGGGGTCTCCCGGGCACATCTGGTGGCAGCCTCACACATCCTGGGGAGGTCTCCTGCACATCTGGGGGCTCCCAGAATCACCTGGAGGGGGTCTCCAGCACATCTGGGAGCGCTTTAAAACATCTGGGGGGGGGGGGGGGGGTGTCCAGCTCATCTCGGTGGATCTCTGGCACATCTGGAGATGCTTGGGCACAGCTGGAGGGTGCTCTGGCACATCTGGGGGGGAGTGGGGGGATCTGGAGGGGGACACCCACCAGCCCTGAGTCTTTGAGGGGGATTTCGGGCACATCTGGCTGGCACCTGGGCACATCTGGGCAGATCTTGAATTCTCCCCGGCACACTGGGGGGAGGTGTCCCCTCCGTGCCAGGTGTGTGCCACAGCTCCGTGTCCCCACCGTGCCAGCCCCGTGCACCCACTGCCAGGTCCCGCACCCACCCCTGCACCCATTCCCACCCCCTGCACCCACTCCTGCACCCATTCCTGCACCCTGCACCCATTTCCACCCCCTGCACCCACTCCTGTGCCCACTCCCACACCCTGCACCCACTCCTGCACCCACTCCTGCACCCTGCACCCACTCTTGCACCGCTCCCACACCCTGCACCCACTCCTCCACCCATTCCTGCACCGTGCACCCACTCTTGCACCGCTCCCACACCCTGCACCCACTCTTGCACCCATTCCCACACCCTTCACCCACTCCTGTGCCTGCTCCCACACCCTGCACCCATTCCCACACCCTGCACCCATACCCTGCACCCACTGCCAGGTCCTGTACCCACTCCCACACCCTGCACCCACTCCCACACCCTGCACCCACTCCTGNCCCTGCACCCACTCCTGCACCCATTCCTGCACCCTGCACCCATTTCCACCCCCTGCACCCACTCCTGTGCCCACTCCCACACCCTGCACCCACTCCTGCACCCACTCCTGCACCCTGCACCCACTCTTGCACCGCTCCCACACCCTGCACCCACTCCTCCACCCATTCCTGCACCGTGCACCCACTCTTGCACCGCTCCCACACCCTGCACCCACTCTTGCACCCATTCCCACACCCTTCACCCACTCCTGTGCCTGCTCCCACACCCTGCACCCATTCCCACACCCTGCACCCATACCCTGCACCCACTGCCAGGTCCTGTACCCACTCCCACACCCTGCACCCACTCCCACACCCTGCACCCACTCCTGTGCCCGCTCCCACACCCTGCACCTATTTCCACACCCTGCACCCACTCCTGCACCCTGCACCCAATTCCCACTCTGCACCCCCTCCACGTCCCTCCACCCACTCCAGGGTGCTGCACCCACAGCGGGACTCAATAAAGCTGCTTATCCCTCTTCCAGGCCCTTATTGCCCCAGGAAGAGCCGTGGGAGGTGCGGGAGGGGTGGGTGGCCCCGTCCCTTGGGTGCCCTCGCTCCCGGTCGGAGCCGTCCCGAGGGCGGGACTCGAACCTGCGACCCCCGGGGCTGGGGGGGCGGGGCTCCGCGCCTGGCCACGCCCCCAGGCCGCGCGCAGCCAATGGGAGCGCGCCCCGCCCGGGGGAGCCACGCCCAGCCCGGCCCGGGCGCGACGGGACCGAGCGGGGCCGGACCGGGACCCAGTAGGTCCAAAAGGAGCCGGACCGGGACCGAACGGGGCGAAACCGGGACCCAGCGGGGCCGAACCGGGACCGAACGGGGCCGAAAGGAGCTGTACCGGGACCCAGCGGGTCCAAAAGGGGCTGAACCGGGGCCGAACGGAGCCAAGCCGGGTCCAAAAGGGGCCGAACGGAGCCGAACCGGGACTGAACGGGGCCAAGCCAGTACCCAACAGAGCCGAACGGGGCCGAACCGGGGCCAAACCGGGATTGAACGGGGCCGAACCTAGACCGAACGGAGCCCAAGCAGGACCCGGCAGAGCCGAACGGGGCCGAACCGGGACCCAGCGGAGTGGAGCGGAGCCGAACCGGGGCCGAGCGGTGCCGGACGGGACCGGAGCGGTTCGGCCCGGCCCGGAGCGGGTTCCCGGGCCGGTGCCGGCGATGCGGCCGCTCCCGGTGCCGCTGCTGCTGCTGCTGCTGAGCCCGGTGCGGGCGGGACGGGACCGGGAGGGGAACGGAACCGGGACCGGACCTGGACAGGAACGGGACCGGGACGGAACCGGGACCGGACCTGGACAGGAACGGAACCGGGATGGGACCGGGATGGAACGGGGACGGGACCTGGACGGGATCGGAACCGGGCCGGGACCGGGATGGGACCGGAACCGGGAGGGGACCGGGAGGGGAACGGGACCGGGATGGAACCGGGATGGAACCGGGACGGGACCTGGACAGGAACGGGACCGGGAGGGGACCGGGACGGGACCTGGACGGGATCGGAACCGGGACGGAACCGGAACCGGGCCGGGACCGGGATGGGACCGGGATGGGAACGGGAGGGGAACGGGACCGGGATGGAACCGGGACGGGACCTGGACGGGATCGGAACCGGGCCGGGACCGGGAGGGGACCGGGATGGAACCGGGACCGGGATGGGACCGGGACCGGGATGGGACCGGGCCGGGACCGGGAGGGGACCGGGATGGGACCGGAACCGGGCCGGGCCGGGTCACTTCGCCCCGGGGCTTTCGTTGTTTTTGGCTCTGTTGGGTCACGTTTGGGTCATTCCGGTTCCGTT